TTTTTTTTTTTTATATAGTTGTCATTGTTGTTTGGCAGGGCCAGGCTGGATTCGAACCCACCAGCTCTGGCACCTTAACCTCTGAGCTACAGGCGTCGAGCCCATTTAGGTCTTTTTTAATCTCCATTTTCTTTCCTCATGTTTATGTTTTCATTTTATCCTGAATCACATTTATAACAGCTGATTTATTTGTTTACTTATTTTTGTGACCGAATCTCACTTTGTACCCCTCAGTAGGGTGCCATAACGACATAGCTCACAGCAACCTCAAACTCTTAAGGAGTCCTTTTGCCCCAGCCTCCTGAGTACTGGGACTACAGATGCCTGCTGTAACGCCAGGCTATTTTCTTAGAGTCAGGGTCTCACTCTTGCTCAGGCTGGTCTCAAACTCCTGAGCTCAAGTAATTCACCCATCTTGGCCTCCGAGAGTGCTAGGATTACAGGCATGAGCCACTGCGCCCAACCTATAATAGCTATTTTAGGTCATTGGCTATTAATTCCATTATCTCTGTCATTTCTGTTGATTGATATTTTTCTCCTCGTTGTGGATCCCTTGTATGTCTGGTAATTTTTGACTTGAATGGCAGTCCTTATAAAATTTAATTTTTGGTTTCTAATGCATCATCAGATAGGTTTAAAAAAATTACATTGGTGACTGCTGTATTTTAATAGTTATCTTATATGCAGTTATTTACAGATCAAGTTGCTCTGGGCTAATATATAATTTAGCCCTACTACTATTAAATGCTTTGCTTATAATGAGATCTCTTCACGCTGGCTGGTGGACATGTGAACTATTTCTAGCCCTATTTGACTTGGGGATTTGTTCATGTACTACTTTCTGGTAGTAGCCTAGCCTCATGGAGTTTTATACCATTTCATTACCCAGTCAAAGATTTCAGGAGACCCCTGTACAGGTTATATGGGCTCACCCACAATCTGAGTGTGAGGCGTTTTCCTTTCCAGAACTCTGTTCTACAAAGTTTTCCTGCTAGGCCACCATGAAATATGATCTCAGATATGATCTGTGTCTCGACAAAACTACCATGTTCTGGCTTGGCACCTGTAGCTCAGTGGCTAGGGCACTGGCCACGTACACCATGGCTGGCAGTTTCGAACCCAGCATGGGCCTGCCAAACAATAATGACAACTACAACAGGCTTGACGCCTGTTGCTCAGTGGTTAGAGCGCCGGCCATATATACCAAGGTAGGTGAGTTTGAACCCAGCCTAGGCCTGCTAAACAACAATGACAACTGCAACAACAAAAAAATAGCTGGGTGTTGTGGTGGGCGCCTATAGTTCCAGATACTTGGGAGGCTGAGGCAAGAGAATCGCTTAAGCCCAAATGTTTGGGGTTGCTGTGAGGTGTGACACCGCCATGGCACTCTACCAGGCTAACATAGTGACACTCTGTCTCAAAAACAAAACAAAACTACCATGATGCTCTCTTTAAGTTCCCCTAACTTTCCCTATTTGAATATTCTTTTCTTTTCTTTTTTTTTGAGGCAGAGTCTCATTCCATTTCCCTGGGTATAGTGCCATGGAGTCATATCATATTGCCCTGGGTGGAGTGCTGTGGAGTCATAGCTCACAGCAACCTTAAACTCTTGGGCTCAAGTGATTCTCTTACATTAGCCTCCTGAGTAGCTGGGACTACAGGCGCCTGCCACAACGCCTGGCTATTTTTAGAGACGAGGTCTCACTCTAGCTCAGGCTGGTCTTGGAACTCCTGCCTCTCCCTTCCAGAGTGCTAGGATTACAGGCATGAGCCACTGCGACCAACCCCCATTTGAATACTTTTTCTCAGAGAAATATATATTTTTTTAGAGACAGAGTCTCACTTTGTTGCCCTAGGTAGAGTGTTGTTTTGTCACAGCTCACAGCATGCTCTTGGGCTTAGGCCACTCTCTTGCCTCAGCCTCCCGAGAAGCTGAGACTATAGGCGCCTGGTAGAACACCCGGCCATTTCTTTTGTTGTTGTTGCAGTTTGACTGGGGCAGGGTTCGAACCTGCTGCCCTTGGTATATGGGGCGGTGCCCTATTCACTGAGCCATAGGCGCTGCCCACTTTGTCTCAAAGAAATATTAATACATTACTCTCACCTTTATGTATTGCCTGTGGTCTAGGGTCTGAAAACAGTTTTCTTAGCCATTTACTTTAGACATTACTTTGTTTTTTGTTTTTTGTTTTTTTTTTTTAACACCTCCCTTCCCTCAAGTCTCTGGGGCAGGGTGAAGTGGACGTATACTCATTTAACTTTTATATCTTTTTTTCTTTTCCAGAACAATATAGCTGAAGTACAAGAATTGCATTCTGAATTAATGTGGAAGGATTTCATAGACCACATCAGTAGTCTCCTACATAGTGTTGAAGTGGAAGTCAGTTACTTTGCAGCAGGAATTATTGCCCATTTAATATCAAGAGGGGAACAAGCTTGGACATTGAGTCGTAGCCAGAGGAATTCTCTTCTGGATGATTTGGTAGGGTCATTTGGTGTTTCTGGAAGCATATAGACAAACGACATTCCTAGTAGTTAAACTATAGAGCCTCAGAATGTAATGTATTATGCAATGCTAAATAAATACTGTAATCCTTTTTTATATGTTTTGTGTCTTCCAGCATTCAGCTATTTTGAAATGGCCAACTCCAGAGTGTGAGATGGTAGCATACAGGTAATTAACATAGTAATGAGCATTAAATCAGTAACTTAGGAATTTTTCTTGCCTAGAGATCATTTCTAGTAGACGTGTAAGTTTTCTGTCAGACATCTATCTTAGCAATGGCTTTCACAGAAGCAAAGTGTTTTTACTTCTTTCTGCCACCTATCCTTCATCCTTCCTTCCTTCATTCCACATTTATTGAAGATAAGTATCCAAGTGCCAGGGATTTGTTCTTTATTCTAAATTTTTTTCCCCCCATGACAGTGTCTCATTCTTGCTGACTGGGCTAGAGTGCAGTGGTGTCCTCTCGGCTCACTGACTGGACTCAAGCAATCTGCCTGCCTCAGCCTCCCAAGTAGCTGTTAACTATAGGGGCACACCACTACATTGGCTAATTTTTTTATTTTTTGTACAAATGGGGTCTTGCTGTGTTGCTTAGGCTGATCTTGAGCGCTTGGCCTCAAGGGATCCTCCTGCCTCAGCCTCCCAAAGTGCTAGAATGATAGGCATGAGCCACTGCACCTGACCTTCTCTTGAAATTCAAAGGTGGACAAGACATGATGTTTGCCCACAAGAATCTTATGTCCTAATGAAGAAGATCACTGTGTATCAGACACCAATGTGGTGGCTCACACCTGTGATCTCAGCACTTTGAGAGGCTGAGACAGGAAGATTGCTTGAGGCCAAGAGTTCAAGCCCAGCCTGAGCAAGAGCAAGACCCTGTCTCTGATGAAAATAAAAA